AATAATTAGCATAGTTGTTGGGTCAAGCCCTCAACCATTCGAGCCTGGACTGGACTCAGCCTAAATGGTTGGGTTGGGTCTAACCTACGCTAAAAAAATGGTAAGTAGGGTCTCTAGCCGGCCTAACCCGACTAGGTTGGGTTGGACTGATTAGTACTTAAAAGTGCATTTTTATCATGGTTTTATATCATCATTTTGCACTTGAAGTATCAATAACTCCTTAACCAAAGTATGTTTTATAATAATATATCTAATAATATAAGATACCTTTAATTTGTGGTAAATGTTTATTTTAAATGCAGGCCTATCACATAAATGAAAGGATTGATTGATGACTTTAAGAACTTAAATTGCAAGGATAAAGAGATGGCCAAACTTAGAAAAGAGATGTCGGTGCAATCCAAACCGGAACACTGTTCGGTAATTGGGTCATATTTGGAGATATATATCTCAGATTTAGTTCCAATTTATATGGATGGAAAGGTAAGACATAGGCCTACAACTTTCATATAGAGCCCAAGATCTAAAAAGGCCATTTTCAATTCAAAATTGTAGCAACAACAAAAAAGCCCGAATCTGTCTTCCAACCCGAGCACTGTTTAGTATTTTGGCCATATCTGGAGTTCTAGAAGTCCAAATGAGCTGAATGTTTTACACAAGAAAGCTGAGACAATTGCCTACAACTTTCATGTTTGCAACTGGCTCCAATTTTGACGTTATCAATGACGTTTTGGGCAGACAAGAGAAGATAAGGATTGTCACCAAGTCAAAAGTTGGTCACCCACTTATCAATTAGTCATCAAATCAATAGTTCCCAATTTTGGCCTATAAAAGGAGGCATTTGCCATGCATTTAGGCATCTTGTTTTTCAGATCAAGATCATGCTCTTCCTTTCTCTCTTTGTATTTTTTGTAATGTTTATGCTTTGCTTTCATTAATATTAAGTTTATACCTTTCATTTCCTTTCCTTTACTTAGTTAACTTTTATGTTCTTATTTTGTTTATCTATTTTGCTTTCTTTCATTATGTCTAGCTAAGTTAGTTATGTCAAGGTGAAAAAGTTACATTAATGATGTAAGAATAAGTATAATGTAAACTTAATATGGACTTTAATGTTTGATACTAACATGTTTTATATTTGTTATCTTGTTCACTCTTTAATACTTTGCTTGTTAAATGACTAATCTTGATTTATGTTGTATAACACTTGGTACAACAAATGCTTGGCACTTTCATAGCTCATAATGTATGGTATAACCGACACCTGAGCTATGAAAGGAACTTGATTTGTTGTTAACATAAGTTATAATCATGAATGCTTGACGAGATTTACAAGTATTAGCATTAATTGAATAAGATGACTAATGTAATCATGTTAACAATATATAATCTGATTGGAACCTCCTTTGTGTGTGGTTTCCAATTCAATAATAAGAGTTTATACTATACTTGTTTGATATACCATTAGTGGAACCTCTAACCTTGACATTTATTATTATTATTGTTTAATCCTTACATTAATTTTCCATCTCCAAGTTCTCATCATCTTCTTTTTCTTCTCTTTCTTTATTATTATTACTACTACTAATACTACTACTACTACTACTACTACTACTACTACTACTACTATTATTATTATTATTATTATTATTATTATTATTATTATTATTATTATTATTATTATCCAAGTATGATCTTTACAATAATAATAATAATAATAATAATAATAATAATAATAATAATAATAATAATAATAATGTAAAGATCATACTTGGTCTACTGTGCATCCATGAGAGACTGCGATATTTAACGTTGGCAAGTATTGTTTCTTGAGGTCAGCACCAATCTAATTAAATTAAAATATAAAAAATCTAGTATGGTAGGAATATAGATTTTATCTTCGACCATTGATTGTTGAGTTAAATCTAGTATGGTCAGTCAGGGCTTTAACATATAATATCTTAAGAAAATATAATTTTTACATGAAAACAATTTTGATTTGAACTATAAACGATTTTCTTTTGTATGAGAAGGACATGGAAAATCAGCCTCTTTATATTATATGGGTAATAATAAGGTATTTACATTAATCAAAATTGGTAAACTTCTTCTTTTTTTTATTGCTACCAGAGATTCTTGCCAAGTTATCATTAATTCAGAAACAATAAAAAAGACTTATTAAAAGATAAAGTTGAAATGAATATTATATCATTGGTACTTATAGGTAAAGAAGTGTCTAATAAATGTTATGGTATGATGGTATTATACTTGGTTTTCATGTTAGTATGCAAAAGTTTCCTCGTTTTGGTGTGACACACAGTTTGATAAAGTAAAGTATGTTTTAGGAGCTTTCTTATTAAAAAACTAATGTTATCCACTATAATGTAGATGTCATGTATATCAAGAAGAATGTATTTAAAATATTTTTAACATTGTCATGGACATGAAAAGGAAAACAAAGAATAATATAAAGCTAGAATAAATTTAGCTATGTATTATGACTGTAAGAATATAAAATTGGTTAATGATGAGTTTTGTGTTGCAAAGCTGAAAGCCACATTCATATTAGACAAGGATGGACAACTTCTTCTCTCTAAATGGCTTAAAAGTCTACAATTTTCTAATGGATATGCTTCAAACATAGTTAGATTGATAAATTTAGGGGAATACAAATTGTATAAAATGAAGAGTCATGACTATTATGTGTTTATATAAACTTTAATTCTAATTGCTTATATGACTTATTATAAAAAAGGATATGAGATGTACTCATGAAGATTAAACACCTTTTTAAAGATATACTCATAAAGATTAAACACTTTTTTAAAGATATTTATTTAAATAAGTTGCATACTAATCACATTGAGCAGCTTAAAACAACATCATTAAGATAATTTACAAACTTAAAATGATCTTTCCCCCTCCTTCTTTGACTTAATAGAGAATCTTCTCATTTATTTAACTTATAAGACAAAAGTTTGAGGTCATGTACAATACAAATGGATATATCCACTTAAGAGGTTAGGGATTGCATGCATTCTTAATAATTGTTCATTTTTTTATATATAAAAAAAAAACATTCAGTTATTCATCTGCAATAACTTATTCAACCTTAAAAAAAAAATTAAAACTAAAGCACATGTTGCAACTTTGATAAGTGAAGCTTATATTGTTGAAGAGATTTCAATATTTATTTTATATTATTTTAAGCCTCGCTTGAGAACAATAATTCATTATATTACAAGAAATGATGGTGGTGGTCACCTATATTCGAGTAGGGATTTTTCAATATTTTTTCATTTTAAATGATCATTATTAAATAATATAATGAGTAGATATTTGACTGACATCAAATCTAAACAAACATATAATTATATGTTATTTAATTGTTATGAATTATCATATTTTGTTTGATAAATGAATTATAAAATTACATATTTTTAAAATAATTTTCTCTTATATATATTCTCTTACAAAAAAAAAATTAATTAACTTTCTTGTAGGAAAAGTATCAATTGTTGTTGTTATCTTATAATATAAATGTTAATGAATCTCAAATCTATAAATTAAAATATGAATAAGTTATTACCTGGTTTAAAACACTTATAAGTATTAAATATTTATCAATTATTTAACTCATAACAACTAAGCTTAGTTGCATCCAATAAGAAAAACTATTATATATGCATGAAAAACTAAGAATATTTTTAATAATGTTATTGTTGATGTTGTTGTGAGTTGAGGGTTAATAAAATATACAGCTAGGGTTCTAAATAATAAACAATACAAAGAGAAAGTTTGAAACACCAACAAAATCAAATGTCTATTAGAAATGTTTTCTCACATTTCATCAGAATAGTCCATTAGGAGTTGAGGTGCATGTCCGCCGCCGCCGATTTCATCGGCAATATTCACTCGCATTTCATCGAAGAGTTACATTATAAGTTTTTGGCGTTTTCAACGGAATCAGTGAAGAAATAATCCATCAAAAATTAATCTTTTTTTTATTTCAGATGGAATCGGTGACGGGATAATCCATAAAGAATTAACGTTGCTAATGGACTTCCCATTTGAATATGGGCTGTTATAAAATCTAGTTTTTTGGCACGAATATTTCATCAGCCACTCCATCAAAAAAAAAAAAAAAAAAAAAGAAGGTAAGTTCTTGGACAAAAACGCTGACGAAAAGGAAATTCCCGACGAGAAACTCGCCAGCAACATGGAATTTTAACTTCTTTTCGTCTTCTTTATTTACCATTAAGTTAATAGTAAAGCCAATGCTCTCACCATAAAATAACCTCCAAGGGCTACGACACAAGCAGTTGCATAAAACTTGTATGTTTATGGTTGAGTCCCTAGATCCTAATATTGAAGAAGAAACACTCCCCTCTCTTCGTAGCCTCACCTACTAGTCGAGATTATTATGGATTTCATTTCGATTAATAATTATATTGAGTTGATTACGTATTTGTCTGAGATTTCAATCTACATCCGAAAGATAAATGTGGAACCTAAATTCTTGTCAGATTTTTGTTCAACAGAAAGAACTTAATTTTTTATCCAAAGTAATTGCAAAAACAGTTCCGATTTTTTATATTTTAATTTAATTAGATTGGTGCTGACCTCAAGAAACAATACTTGCCAACGTTAAATATCGCAGTCTCTCATGGATGCACAGTAGAATACATTTACTAACATGCCGCGTACATCTGTGGTTTAGTATCTTCCAATTTTCACAGCACTAGAGCTGAATCATCAATGTGATAAGAATTTAATTAAGTTGAAAAGTGGTTAAAATAACATGTTTCCTCCTTGTCTTTGAAGGTATTAGAGAAACCAGATCTGCTTAACTATGCATGGAAACTAGATCAGAGATGATATCTCTTTAGGAAATGAACAAAAACGTAAAGAAAACATTCTTCAAACCTAATATTTTCATATTAGAAATTAGTTCTAACATTGATAGACTCATCAAACAATATTCATAATGAGAACCTCTAGTGCGTACCCCCTTTTTTTTTGGAGAAGAAGAAGAAGAAGAAGAAGATGTCATCGTAGCTATAATTTCATCATTGGCCTTCGCTCGTTATATTATATCTATCTTCATCAATTTCATTGACAGAGTAATGTGTCCCTCAGCCTTATATCCATCATCTTTAGGCCTCACAAGTCCATAGCGGCCATCAGTTTTACTTGACAAGTTCGGTAGAGGTATCTGAGCCCTACCCACCAAGCTTATGCCATTAGAGGTTCCTGGGTTACTCTCAGAGGAGGATCCATACCTAAGCACCTCAACATACAAAAAGCTGCAATCCCTGGACTTGTCTAACTTCAAACGACACTTCTGGTTCCATACAGGATCTGGAGAGCCTACATCGCAAGATGTTGCAAGTTGATAATCTGGGTGAACCCAAAATACAACACGGTAATCCCTGGTGGTTACTGAAGGATAGGTGCTAGGGTTGTCTAAGCCCTCTGCATGGTCGATGCTCAAAAGCAAATCAATATCATAGTCTTTCTCTTTGGCTATTCTCTTATTCCTTGTAAACATTCTTCTTCTGTTCATCATCTTCATCTCTGTATCTTTGTTTGGACGACTTCTTTTTCTATCTAAACAAACCTACACGTAATTAATAGGAAGAAAAATAATCAGTTTAGCATCTAGTACAAAATCAAGATTGAGAAATTAATTATAATTTAACAAGTAATTAACGAAAAAGAAAGAAAGAAAGAAAAGAAAGAAAGAAAGAAAGAAAGAAAAGAAAAGAAAGAAAGAACACGTACAAATATTATACTTTGTCCTTTAATATTTCATGGACTGCTCCTACAAGAAAAGAAAACAGCTAACCGAGTGTTTCTGGTGCTCTATTCTCACATGCATAAAGAAAAACCATGTTGATGGAGAAGAAGAAGAGCAAGTGTTGATTTGAATTAAAAAGAAGAGAGAGAAGCTACAGGTGGTCAAATTCAAGAGGGGTAAATAACACATGATTTCGTTGGTCGTTTCAAGTTTTAGTAATTTAGAATTAAAAAGCTAGAAGAATCTTACTTGGATTCGGCGTCTTTGTAAGTATTGGACCCCACGACCTTTAGGGTTTCCTAGAGAAGGACATGCAATTAAGAAGTTTGCTTGAGATAGACTTGGGATAGATTCATTTACTAATTTGATAGTGCCACGTTGTTTGAGATCTTTGGCAGGGAAGTAGAGGAAGAAATGTGAAAAATAGGTGAAAAAAAGGAGAAGTGTTTCTCCCTGAAAAAGCTGGAAAATTATTTACTATTTATGATAAAGCTTGAAATAAAAAGAAATTATATATATCCTGGCACATTGCACCAAGGTTAACTTCACTCTACAGCCTATGAAATTCTTGATCAAACTTGATTGTATTCTGAATTTTTATTTTTTATTTTGTACATGCTTAAAGAGAGTATGGATTAATATACAAGGGCCCGGGGGGGGGGGGGGGGAACCAACTTGGATCATCAGCTGTACAGGAAGGAAAAACAAGTTCAATTCCCACACGAGGACTTGTCCTTTTTTTTTTCTTTTCTTTTCTTTTCTTTTTTCTTTTTTCTTTTTTCTTTTTTTTTTAATTATTATCTATGTACACTTTCTTTCTTCAGTTTTACTCAATTGTTTTGAATTTTCTGCAAGTGCATTTTGCAATTCTAACATAATTCCATGGTCACCACTGACTTTAGGCTCAGCAGCTGCATCTGAAGGAGAGATATCGAGAGGCTCTGGCATACTCTCAGCTGTGGAACTGTTTGTCAGTGACATGCCCAGTTGTCCCACCATCTTACCCTTTCCATCTTTATCACAAACTTGCAGCTCTTCACGATTTGGCTCCACCATTGATGAATCCAACTGAGTATTGAACATCCCAGACGAGTCCATCATATTTTCATCAAACCCTTCTCTACCTTTGCTTGGTTGCCTGGTGAAAAGCCCCAGCTTTGAATTCAAAGAATTAGAAATGCAAGAAACCTCATCCATGGGCTCTGAGGTCATTGCATAAGGCATGGGTGCTTCACCACTGGAAATTTCTGGTTTGAAGTCTTCAGTCTTTGCAGCCAAAAGAGCATAGTCTGATGCATCTTTACTATTTGAAAGTTTCTGCCCCTGCAAATACTGGTCAGCCAATCTCTGCTCTAGTTCTTGAATGCGCTTCTCATATGACACACACTGTATTTGCTTTGCCTTAAGCAAAGATTGGAGATGTTTTCCATACTCATCTTTCAGCCGCAAGGCTTCAGTTGTCTTATCTGCATTCTTCAATAGACTACCCACTGTACTTTCATCCATTGACTCGTATTCAATTTCTGGGCAAAGGGAACATATCAAGGCTATTGCAGAAGCTAGTTCAGCTTTCAGTTTTGCATTCTCAACTTCCATCTTGCTAGTTCCAGCAATCTCTAACAACTCACAGCCCTCGAGGGGCTCCTCAGAGCAATCTTTCTCAAGTGCTTCCTCACCAATTTCTTCCATCTCAGCTGAGCGAGAACTGTCATTAGACATAGACAATGAGCCTTTCAAGCTTGCAGTCTTGTCACTTTTTGAAGGAAGTCCAACCAAATAATCAGGAGCATAACGGTCCAAGTCTGAGATGTCAATGTCAAGCAAATTAGTGTCAAATGGAGATATATTGACATCACACTGACTAGGAGTATCATATAACCCCATTGATGCTAATATATCTCTTGGTATATATGAACTGTATGCTTTCAGAAACTCCTCCCGTCTCCTAACCTCAACCTCCCTCCTTGTAGCAAGCTGCTCAGCCAGTTGTCCAGCCTTGCCCATGTAAAGTTTCATAGAAGCCTTTCTTCTCACTACTTCAGCAAGGCAGCCTCTGTATGCAGAACCAATCCCATGGAATAGTTTTAGGTCCCTAAAAATATCATCCTGACGCAACATTGCCTCTCTAAAAACAGGAAACCTTAACTTCACATCTTTCATGAGGAAAGTAACATAGGTGATCTTTTGTAGGAAATCATGCACAAAGATGTTCATCTCGTTCTTCTTATCCTTGCAAAAACCAAGCAGCTTGGAAATTAAATCATCAACAGCCAGCATGTTGGGCAAATGACTCTTTTCATGGACATCATACATAAGACTCAGGGCTGAAACTTCAGTATGGAGACGAGTTGAGGAGGACAACTGGCATGACAGACAATCATGCACAAGTTTCTTCACCGTGCTTGCATCGTCTCTGCATAAATACAAGTCCACAGCCATCAATCAGTGGAATGTGCATTATCTTCCTCCAGCCTAACTACTGCAGCAATTAGTATGACTTGAAAAAACAGAAACTTTAGGTTTTACTTATAAATTGGTATTGACAAAAAATTTATGATTTGGGAGCTTATTAATGCTACCATATTAGCACCATTTGGTATCTTACTTTAGTAGGGAGTTGCTTCTTTAAAACCATCAGGATTTAAAGAATTAAAAATTGAATTTCAGAATTCTGTTTTTTTGTGGATTTCAGCAAACTAAGGTTCTCAAAGATTCATGAAACGCATCTTTTGGATTTCGAGGGATTAGCTTAGTGAACTCTAGGTTTTCTATATTTTCCTTATTTCCCAAGGTTTGTGGATAAAACACCAACAGGGTACTTGATGGTTCAATCAAGTTATTGCACTCACTTGAATGTCTTAAAATTTCCAAACACGCACACCAGCTGAAATTGAAATCTAGAAGTGAATCGTTTCCATAATCATGATTCATTTATGAGCAGCTCCTACTTCAAACAAAAATTGCCAGGCCAATGGCATTGAGCCAAAGCATGAAGTTGGACTGCTACTCTTATTGTCCTTTAAGGTGAGAATCTAGCTGTAGGTCGTCTTTAACAAAATATTCAACAGCACAACAGGCATCGGATGGAGAAAAGGTTGCGAGTACATTTAAATATTTTTATTTATCTGCCCCCAAGAGGGAATCAAAGATCTAAAACACACGGACTACTTTTGAAAAAGAACAAAAATCAAAGTAATATCATCCATAAAAAAGACAGACTAGTGACTAATATTGAATGCAATCATCACTGAGCAGCCATCGTACCATGTGTTCCTATGTGCTCATCACTTGCCAAAAATACTCAGGCCAGGAATTAGATAAGATTGGCATAGCAATGAACCGGCTATATCACAGAAATTACAGGGAAAGCTATAAACTCAATCCTTGACAGTGCTAAGATGTATTATCACAGCAATGCTTCAAAAAATTCAACTTACTGCATCAATCAAGAAATTTTTAACAAGCACAAAATCATACAGAAAAATTAACAAATAGGAAGGCAGTTCAGATGTTTGAATTGAAGTCAACCAACCTCAAAGACTGCATTATGCTCTTCTGTTCATTGATGGATGGCTGACGCTCCTTGATGGCAAGATCTAAATTCCTAATAGATGACGAAGCTTCACAAGAAAATAATTCTTCCACTTTGCGCTTTGCATCACCAAAATTTTGCTTAAACTCTAAAACCTTCTTCACAAACTGCCTATGTGAATGGCTACAATTATCCACGGCCTTCCTCAAGTTATCTTCCTTCACAAAATCGACTAAACATTTACGTGAATCAGATTGCAAGTCTGGATGAAGCTTGATCGACCTCAGTTTCTCTAAATCTCTCTCAAAATTTGTTAAGAGATCTAAATGTATCCTGTGTTGTTGTGTATAACGCTTCATGAACTCTGAGTAGTTCTGAAAAATTGCCCTGTAGAATTGATGCACGTTAATCCTAGCAACCTCCATTGCCCTCTCCTGAACCTTTTGCTCCGTCAATAACTTCAGGCAATGTTCATGCTTTACTTGGGTTCTACTATAAATTGCATAGCCCCTCTGGTAATGGTATCTAAATTGTTTCTCATAAGAAGGCAAAACCCTCAAAGCTGGGTCTGGAGCATCATCTAAAGGATGGGGGTCATGCGAAGAAGGTGGTGGTGGAGGGTCTGCAATTTCAAGTAGATCAATTTGTTCGAGTGGAGGGGGAAGGGTATTGGTTTGCATCCTTGCTCTGTTAAATATAAACACTTCCCCATCGCTAGATGGAAGCTTGTAGGCAGAAAGCGGCTGCTGAGGTTCAAGTTTCTTTTCCAAACACAGAACAAGCTGGTCATTGAAGTTAATCCCAGCAACTGAATCGATATAACGCATTACCCTCTCCACAAGCGTTGTTTCATCACAATAAAGTTCAAGTGAATGGCCATTTTCTGCTATATGAACTACAAGCCTGGTCTGATTTACCAAACCTTCTGTGATGCTTGAACTCATCTTATCTTTAGAGCAGAATTATACACCTCAAAATAAAATCCAACAAGAAACGCCAATACTAAGAGATAATTTAAATACAAAAATCCCCAAAACCATTTGACCGTACGAAAATGATTCAATTCAATCCCTTAGAACCCAAAGTGGGATTTCCAGATTGTTAGAGCTTTATTCCTAACTTATTACCAGCCCACTGAAATCTGCAAAACAAGCAAATATACCATAAACCTGGAAAGATTGAATCAACACAGCACCAATTTTTATCAACCCACCATGAAACCACACCAACCAGAGATTTTATCCCAAAGAAAAAAAGCCCCAACCTTTAGCCTCAAATCCTCCACAAAACCCCAAATCAGCAACTTTTCACCTCAAAACTCCTCCAAGCAAACAAATTCACAGCGGGCCCACGAATGATTACACCAAAACAACCCAAAATCATCACCGACCCATCAACAAAATCAAGTAAACCCACGAATCATCTCACTAAATAAACCCAGAAATGTGCTCTCACAATACCAAGAAGAAAAAAGGACAGCAAAAAATCAGAGAGACAAAATCAAAAGACACATTTTTTATTAACGTGTTCTAAAGAGAGAAGATCGAAGTGCAGGATTAAGGCATCAAAAGTGGTTACGTTAAGAGACTAGAGTGGAATTTTAGTGTCTCTCTGTCTATAAACGATGGTTCTCTCCACGAAGCCTCTTTGATTGGAAGTAAATTTTTTTTCCAATGTGGTGTTAGTTTTTTTTTTTTTTGGTTGAATATATAAAAGTAGTAAGAGAAATGGTGATGAAGATAATAAAAAAGGAAAAAAAAAATCAAAGAGAACCTTCACTAAAGGGCAGCAGAGGAGCTCTCTCTCTCTCTCTCTGCAATAAGTTGGGAAGAAGAGAGAAAAGCAAGCTGCTTTGTATCGTTGGAGTTGGAGACTAGACTATTAGTATCATTATTATATATTAATTATTATTTCCTTATTCCCATTATTAAAGACTCTCCTGAGTCCTGATCGATTAATTAATGACTTGTTTTGTTTTCTTGTGATATAAGTACCTTTTTGGTTCATTTTGTACTTCGGGGAAACGGTGCCCGCTTATTATGTGATTTTGGTTAGCCGGCCCTTTTATAATAACTTTGATCAAATCAGCCCCTCTACTTCTAATTTCGGAATGAATAAACCCACCATGAGAGGCAATAATGACTTTTCTGAATCTAAAATCATGACACATAAGGGGTTTTACTGTAGTTAGAAGAACATAGAGGACTAAAATCATAAAATGAATCCAAAATCATTAAACTTAATCCTCTCTCCCCATTCTTGTTTGAGACTAAATTGAAAAAAAAGAGAAAAAAACAGAGAGGGAGAGAAAGAGAGATTGACTATCCAAGTCTGAAATAGATAAGTGCAAGTTCCTATCACAAATTGGAGCCTCGAAACCCCATATAATTTGTTTGACGACAAACACGAAGACATTTTATATTGGGATTCTGTTAGGGATGCATTCATACGGATGTCTGATTTTGTGATGTATTTGATTGGTTAATAGTAATTATTTTTTAAAATATTTTATTTTAAAATTATTAAAAAGTTAATTTAAAAAATTTTAAAATCTTGAAAGACATATTTTTAATACAAAAACAAACACCCGGTGGAATTGTTGCTTCAAAGAGTAGCCCGTTTGGAAACGTTGCTCCATGTGTTTTATTAAAAATATTTTTTTATTATTTAAAATTTATTTTTTATATTTTTTATAATTATTTTAATATGTTAATATTAAAAAAATTATTACCATATTTTAAAACAACCCTTAATTCGACCAAAGGAGAGCACAGAGTTTTATACTTAGTTTAATTATTTTCATCTTTTTATTATTTTAGTGTTTTGAGAATTAACTCAAGTATAATTGGATTATTAAAATGATTTTACCACAACACCAGTTGCTTGCATTTAAAGTAATCAAAATTTAAATAGGAGAGATTCGAGAAACTTCAAGGTGGGAACTGTAAGGAAAAAAAATCAAAGGAAAACAAATTTCTTTTGAAGTAATCTAAGAGGATAAACTCTTACTTCACATCAGCATTTACGAGATCCATCGAACCGAAGAACTTAAAATAAATAAATAAATAATTTTACTGCTTCTCCGTGCTAAATTAGATGAATTCCAAGAATGTCTCTATGACTATTAATTTATAACATGTATAATTTATCAAACTTTTATTATTATTGAATTTGAAACTGGGGTTAAGATTATTTTTAAATTATTTTTTATTTAAAAAATATATTAATAATATTTTTTTTATTTTTTAAAAATTATTTTTAATAACAGCTTATTATAATAATTTAAAAATCTCAAAAATATTTAATTAAAAAATTTAAAATTTTTAAAATTATTTTTAAAACATAATACAAAACACACCTTATATAGCATGAAGTTCGGCTTCTTGTGTTAAAGTGGTTGTTTAGAATTTTTAAAAGTTTTAATTGGTTTTTTATAGAATTATTTTTTTATTTTAATATTTTAATATTGAATATAATTTTTTTTA